CTGCCCGGCTAGGGGCATGTTGTCGATGTAAGCGGTTTGTGAGCTTGTTAGGATCGCCTGCAACTGTGGCTGTTGTGCATTTGTTTTGCTGTAACACGCTGGCGCCACAAACAATTTGCTACAAATAAGGCACCGACCGGGTTCAGTCTGAGAGCCAGGGCTTAACTGTGGGACTGTGTGACTGCGGCTGGGGCTGGGGCTGGGGTTTGGCAATTCGCCCGCACAAATCTCTGACAGTTGAACGGGGCTGCGGCTGTTTGTCGTAATTAGCAGCCATCGTAGCAACTGCAGCCAATTGGCCAAGTATTTTGACCATTTTGGGCTGTGCGAAAGTTCAACGGCTGCTGCGATGCTGACTTTCCCAAATGGCAACCCACACGCTGACACAATTAAGCCAAACACATGTCGCTGCACGAGCAGATAAGCCATTTATTAACTTTTCACAAGACTCTAAATGATGCCATAATCTCCGCATACGGTTAGACATATGAGAGAGCTATCCAGCTATCCGGCCGCACACAAAAGATGCAAAGATATAAATAAGAAAGGGACACATTACCAGCTGCTGATGCTCGAATACCCTTACCCCAACTGATGTGAATGGCTATAAAAAGATGGTTTAAGTTATATAAGAGATGTGTGTGTATATTACTTAAATATTGTTTTCTATGGCAGTCGCCTTACCCGTCGTAAAATGTTCATCAAGCAGTTATATAACCGGGGGCTACCATGCCCTACCCCTCCTGTGAAAAACCTTCAATTTTAAATTTAAAATGGTTACCTTTTTAATTTAAACAAATTCAATTAATTTAACTTTTAAAATTGAAAATTTTTGCTGAGTTTGAACCGGCGACTTCTCGCTTGCTGGTTCGATTCTCAGACATCTGCACATCCGTGCAGACCCGTACAGTAACATTATGTGTTAATTTTGTTTTGTTTCTCTACTTGGATTACGAATTTTCTATAAGCCCAACTTGGAGCCAACTCTCGATCCAAAAGGGAGCTCACTCTAGTCAGTAAGTCGGTCGGGACCAACTCTTTTATATATATTTTATTATAGAATATAGTTGTATTACTGGCTTGTTGCAAACCTGCTCCAAGTATCTATAAACTCTGTTCGATGCAACATAAAATGTGACTTGAACTACTGTTTGGCAGCGGGGTGCGGTGGGACCTCCAAGGAGCACCGCCGCTTGACAACCCCAAGCCCCCAGTCAGGGCCAACAATTGAACTGCAATAAAACAATTTACCCAATATAGCGCAGCCCAAGAGCAATCGCAGTGCCAGCCAGACCGCCAGCCAGCCAGGCAGTTAGCCTGCCAGCTATCCAGCTATATTCAGCCGAGAGCCTGGGCAGCTCCCTCGAAACATTTATCATTGAAATGTGGCGTGCTGCTCTACGCAGCGACTGCGGCGTCGGCGGCTTTGCGGCACCAAAACGAGACCCGATCACAGCGTCTTGTCTTGGCGGTCGTTTTGCATATGCTGAAGTCCCAGTTCCAGTAGCAGCAGCTCTCTGCTCTCTGCCCTGCCCTGTCGCAGGTCTCAATCTCTGGCCGCGGCTGGGCGGGCGATAAACTAAGCGCGCTCTTCTGGCCGAGGCCAGTCGCGTAAGTCAGTGTCAGCGATGCCCATAGAAAATCAATTCATTGAACTGAACAGAGATTTCTCGGCCCCTGCCCCCCCACCCATACCACGTCAGCTACCCACTCGACTAGACTGTTGGCTGGTAGCGTCCAGGAGGCGCTGCTCGCATCTTCATAACAATTGTTGGCCCGCCTAATTTGCATATGTTTTGGTAGTTGCGACAAAGGCTCTCATAATTGCTTGATTTAGCGGCCCATTCATGAGCGTGGACGACGGCGCCAGAGGCGCATCCGACCGGGCTGCGACTGACTGTTGGTGTAAATTGCAGGCCAGTGCGGGCAGCTGGAGGCGGGCTTCCACTCTCCACACTCCACACTCCACACGTGTGCGCGGGTGTCTTCCGTTCTGTCGTGTAAATTGCCAAGCAATTCATAAATGTCAACGCGTGCTGCAAATAGACAGACGGGCAGCAGCGCCCAGGGTAGACTGGCCGGGAGATTTATGAGCCAGCTCTGGTTGGATCTATGACAATTAGAACCCTGTCTACGGCAAGAGTCTGAAGGCAGTTCTTAGGTAAACCAAGTAAGTTGCTTGGATTAAAAGCTGCGACTTGTAAAAAAAATATATCTAAGGAAATACTTATATAAAACAGTTTGTCCTGACTGACTATCTTAAAATATTTACTGAAGCTTCCTTTTGGAACGCAAGTTAGTAATAAGACGGGCTTTTGAAAGGGAAGAGAAAAAGGTGCTCAAAGTTTGTATATACAAGTTTGCAAAACACACTTGTGGTCATAAGTCTGAGGCTTAGATGAGCGTCGAACTAACAAGCTAGAAGTCGCTGGTTCAAAAAGCAAAAAGAGAGCAATTAACTTCTCTATAAATAAATAAATAGATGCGATTGCTGGACTGCCTGAAATTTGGGTAAATTTTTATACCCTAACGACGCCGGGTAATTTCTTATAGCCTAAAATAAAGTCAATAAAAAGTATAAGATTCAAGTATAAAAATAAAGAACTCTGATATTGTTTACAGTAGCTAGTAGAGCAGTAGCAATAGAACCAACAACAATGTTGGTATATATACATATATATATATCAATGTTATATGTACAATATATATATATATATAATTTGATATATATGTTATACATAAACCCAGTCCAACTTAAATGTTGAATATTGTGATTATTTCTTCTGAATGCTGATTTAAATGCATTTTACATGAAATAATTGAATTAAAATACATATATAAATAAATTAAAGCCAAGAAACAGGCGAGTAAAATCCACCCAATAAAATATATGCGAATATTCATATAAAAATATATCCCTGCCATTATTATTATGCGAGTTTTGTTACATTTTTCAAAAATAGTCCCTGATTATCCCAAAGCATGAACAGATTTCAACTAAGCTGAACTTTAAAAAAAAATCAATAAGACAAAAAGCAAATGCACAGATCTGCCATATGGCATATGTGCATGCTGAAAGTTCGGCCAGACCAGGCAATAATATCCTTTTATAGCCGGAGTCAACTGCCAAACACGCTTCGGCCTGGCCACTACACCACATCTCATCGATGGCTTTTGGCGTTTTCGTCAATTAAAGCATTATTCATTGATGCTTCGAACTGTTCTCGGGCTGATCAAAATATTTGCATAAGCAGCCCCGAAAGATCCTTAAAAGCCATATACAAAATAAAAAATAAAAAAACGGCAGAGAAAAACTGGTCACAGCGACGAGAGGTCGGCAACAAAGGCAGCAAAGGCAGAAGGGCAAAGGCAGCGTCATGTGTTGCTCAGAGCCCAGCTAGAAGTCGGGGCTGAGGGCTCCGAGCCCTCAACGACGACAGCAGGCACGCGCCCCGAACCAGGTAACAACAAAAGGAACAACAACAGCAACAACAACAACAACAATAAATGCAGAAATGAGCAGCAGAGGGCAAAGCAAAGGGCACAGAGCAAGGCAAGCAGCTCGCAAATGCAACTGTTGAGCCGAGAGCTGAGGGTGAATAACCCAATGCCAGCAGAATCTCACTCTAGGACGAGGCCTGCCTCAGCCAGAGCCAGAGTTTCAGCCAGAGCGAGATAATTTGGCAGGAAGAAAAACTTATGAGATACTATCTAATGTCTATCTGTTTCGGGCTGGCTCTTTCGATCAAATTACAGTTCCGGCATGGTCAAGATTGGCATTTAGTTCCGCTACAAACTGGGAGCTTACCTTATGATTAACATGATGATGATGTTGCTGATGACGTTGTTGTCGCTGGGGAGCCCAAACGTTAGCTCGGCCTGCCCGGACACAAAGTGCAACATATGGCGTTCGTTTTTGGTGCGGCTTCAGCACAACTGACGCAGGATACGCAGGAGCTGGCATTGTTGCTGCTGCTGCTGCTGTTGTCGAGCTACCTACGACTTCCTTCGGAAAGTGCATTGCATACTACTATATATGCTATATGCTCCAACTGCAAGAGATCAATCAAAAATTGGTTGCTGAGGGTCGTTCGCTGGCAACCCTCGTGCCTGGCCTAGAAGGACGCCTTGCTCGCGCATCTACTAGTCGCTGCGACTGCGACTGCGCTCACCTGACTTGCATTCGAGTTGTATCTTTTAGTTTCTTTTCTCTTCGTTTTGTATATTTGCCTTATGCTCGTTTGTGTGAGTGTGTGTGTGTGTGTGTGTGTGTGTATTGTATGCTGATGTTAGCTGCACCTGCTTCTGCGCCAGCAGCAGGACGCGCGCGTCTTTTGACCGCAATCGTTGCAGGTCGCATGAAAGAAAAAAAACAGAGAAGAAGAAAAAAAAAGCAAAGGCCGCTTACAACAGCAGCAGGCGGCCAAATCGTCGTCATCATCGCTTAACTGTTAAGCTTGGCGCGCTTACATGTGTGCAGCGCGCAGGATCTCGTGCCAAGAAACCGCACAAATCCCAAAAAGCCCAAGCTCAATCCCAGTGCCACTTCCTTGCCGTTGCGCCGTCGCGTCCTGCTCCTGCTCTGACTGCAGCACTCGTTATCCTGCGCAAACCACTTTCGTTTATTTTAATTTAGCTTGCGGTCGTCAACAGCTCGCAGTGCTGGGGAGCGGGTTTCACTGTGTGGATTCACAGTCGGATCAACAGCCGCAGCCACTGCCACAGTCGCTGCCACAGTCGCAGCCTGCTGCAATCTGACAAGCCGCTAGCCGGCCTGCTGCATTTAATAACTGTTTTCGTTTTTGCCGCTGTTTTACTTTAACTCGTATATTGGCCCCCGAGTGCTCACGACTCCGTTCCACGTGCCACTTTTTATGCGAATTCGCTTCTAGACTTTGCAGCTTGCCACATAATGCGGCACCGGTTGCTTTTGCTCTTGGTCTTGCTCTTGCTGTTGCTTATCACATTAAATGACGCGTCTCGAACTTAATTAATTTTTATTTATTTTAACGAGCCTTCACTCCACCTTTTAGTCAAATCAAAGCCCTCACTTTAGCTGATCGAACGCTTGTCGCAGCATTTGATTGCAGAGCGCCGCAAAGGGATTGATTTCCACCAGCTGTAAATAAACGCCATCGTTTTTATTCCAATTATCCAGCTATAGAAACTATTAGCATAAACAGAGGTCTATTAATTAGGCACTCACCTGTTCCCGGGCAAACTTGCTGCCAAGCTGTGCAGCTGCCTCGAAATCGGCACGTGCTGCATCCAAGTTCTCCAATTTTCTATATAACACACCACGCTGACAGTGGGCGTGGCATTTGGTGCGCGCCTGCCGATCAGTAGCCAGTTCCAGAGCACGATCCAAATCCTTAAGCGCTTCTATGGTGTGTAAGGAACAGACAAAAGTTGCGTAAGGTTTACAGCCAAGTTCGTAAATAATAATCGTTATCGATATATTTGTAATATGACCACATTTAGCTGCACTGCTTAGCTACATTTGCAAGCAGTGTAAATGCAATTAAAAATCAGTCGAAAGCGACATCTATCTCGAGTGTAATTCAAAAGTGATAAGCGACATCTAGTGCTCGAGCTTAAACTGAGCGTTATGTTTAGGTTCGCGTCTTGGATAAAATTTAAATATGCTTGGATAAAGTTTAAATATTAAAATAAATTGCATTTAGAGAAAGTTCTTCTTCTTATGTTTCGTATGTGCAATAAATAGGACAAAAGACCTTCAACGGCTGCGAAAAATGTATCAGCTTGTCGGAAAATTGTTTATAACTCGGCCATATCGCTGCGAAGCTTGAAGAGTCCGTTGTTAAGGGGACATCGCCTTGTCGCCTTGTGAGTTATTGGGATAGAGAGGATTTTGTATTTTAGCCTTCGTGGGATTCTAGATAACACTATAATGCTTAAATGCAGCCTTACTGAAGGAAGGATATGGCTTATATAGATCGAAATTTATCAACTGATAGAACGACTTTAAATGCCAACTGTTAGCTAAGTATATATGAAGGATTTTGTATTTGTTTACTTTTTGCTCTTAACAAGAATGCTTTTCTCTCACCTTGATCGTGCTTGGCCAATCGCAGTGCCTGTGCTCGATTGTTCAGGACGGAGGCGCGTTCCATCAGGCTTAAAGCCTGGCCGAATCGCAGTAGAGCCTCCTCCAACTCGCCGCGCTCTGTCAATCGCACTGCCTGCAGCTCCAGTTCTCGAGAGGCTTCCAACTGCTGCGATTCGGGCTCCTCGTCCGCCAGCTCCGCTTCCGCTTGGATGGCAACGTTGAGGGCGCCCATGCCGCTCAGCTCCAGAGGATTGAATATGGACTCCAATACCTGCTGGTCATGTGGGCTCAGCTTGAGATTGGCCTGCGGCATGGCTAGACTCGCGATTAGTTACGTATTGAGCGCGTTGCGGAATTAAACTAAAGGCACAACTCGAAATCGAAATTGAAATCAAAACAAAAACAAAACAAAATGCGCTGAACTATGCTAAGCAGGCCGTTTAACCGGTTCATTTGTTGGAAAACAGTTTAGAATCGAAAATGAACTTGTTAAAGCTATTTGCATGCACTGCAAGAAACTGTTTGTGGTTTATAAAAAAACGTTTTGTTTTTATTTTTCTTTCATTTTTGTTTTGTTTGTTTTTGTTTTTATGTATATGTAAATACCAAGGACAATATCATTTGTTTACTCTTGTTTTGCAATAATTTAATTAATAATATAATAATAAATCAGCGCTTGAATCATTTTCATATCTTTATATATATATATATATATATATATATTTGTGTATATATATATATAATTTATCATTTGTTTTTTTTTTCTCTTGTTAATTTTTTTCCATTGCTATGCTAATGCGTTTACTTGCTGTTTAATTTTGATAAATACAATTACATATTATTAATTCACAATAAATGGTTTTAAATGTTTAACTTTATGCTCTGCTCAATAGTTCTTGTCTTTACAATATACACAACTGAAATATCATTTAAGACTATTAATTATATATATATATATATGCACTATGCCATTTAGCTCGATCTTTTGCGTCTATGCCTGGTGTTCTCATTATCGCCTAATACATGAGTGAGATGATATATGGGGGAGAACCAATCAAAATTAAAAAAGTTTTATGTCTCGCATGGAGTGAAGTGTATATATCTGTCTCTATGGAATGTAATTCACTTTGAAGCAGAAGCACTTGGCAACTAGAAAGCTTCGATTTTGCCTAAACTTGTTGAGAATTTCTATTGCAATCCATTTCTATAGCTGCTAGACTTTATAAATATGCCTCATCAAGACTAGACGTAATTTCATTTAGTTTTTATTTCATTTCTGTTTTGGTTTTGTTTCTTGTAGTTTCTCTTTTAGTTCCTTCAGTGTTGCAAAACGGTGCCTTGATTTCTTGTGATATATAGTTATATATATATATATATATATATATATATATATATATATATATATATAGGTGTGTGTATATAGTATGTATGATAAAAAATATAAAAGTGAGCATTGAGTTTTGTTGTCTTTTTTTCTATATGTATATTACAAGTCGTATCCTTTCTATATATTGCAGATATATAACTGTTTGTTGTTATGTACTAGGTGGCACAGTTTTGTTTGTAGTTGTAGTTCGTGTAAATAATCTGGTCTGATCTGGGCTTTCAAGAGGTTTTCTATATGTGAATCAAAAGTTAATAATTAGGTTCAATGATTTGGGTTCAACTCAAAGGCGAGACCTTCAAAACAATAAATCGATTTCTTTTTTCGTAGAGTCTACATTGAAAACATGTAAATATCTTTTAGCTTTTGTACACATTTATCTACAGCGTTCGATCTCAGTTAGTATTAGGTCTATATATATATATATATATATATGTTTGTGTATATATATATATATATATGTTATGCTTGTAAGTATGTGTACTATAAACATTTAGGTTAATCCCATTTAAAAGTCTAGCTCAATCTTTTATACAACAAGTTCCGCTGAGGCTGCAGCTCGGCTAATATCAACTAGTATACGCTATTGCTATTTACGTTACGATATTACGTGGTAGGTGTTTTAATATATATATTAATTGTTTTTTTTTTTTTATGGTATTTATAAGCTGGTTTCCATTTGTGTTATGAATAAATGCCTTTTACCCTTTAGCATAGCATAGCAGCTTTTGTTGCTTGTGTTTTTACTAATATATATCTTTAGTTGCCTCATCTTCAACTCAATTACTTTGACGTATTGTTCTGTGTTCGTGTGTTAAATATGTTTCGGGAATTGAAATTGTTGTTTGTTTCGCTTGTTTGCTTCAAATTGCTTTTCATTGTCGATACGTTAGATATAGTTAGTATACGAGTATGCTCTATATGCGTTACATGTAATTGTATATATAGGTATATATATTAAATGTACTTGTGTGAGTTAGGTATTATGTTATATGTTATATGTTATGTTTAAGTTAAGTTTAAGTAAGCCTTTTATCAGAATTTTACGCAATTTACAGTCGCGCTGCGGCGTGCCATCTCATTGCGATCAGGCAATACACGATATCCTTGTGATTGACACGCATAAACGCTTCAAAAAAATCTTTTAACAAGTTTTTAATTACTTTTTTGTTTCTGTTTTTTTCCGTTGACCAATTCAAAGTGAAGTTACAATTTTGAATTTTGAATTTTAAATGTTTTTTGGTTTTTCTTTTTTCTTTTATAGTTTTATACACGAACAATTTGTTTATAATAATAGATTACTAACAATAACTAACAGCATGCGCTTGAAATTTGTTTTGTGTTTTTCTTAAGAACTCTCTTCATTGGGTTTTCAGCTAAAAATTTACATAACTAATATACGTACAGCAAAGCGTTATTACATAATAGTCAACAAAAGTACAATTACGATATCATTTAACATTTCTTCAAAAATCTCCGTTCTATGCTGTTCTGCTCACTAAAGTCACACACAATAGATATATATAGAGAGAGAAAGGTGGAAATAGAGCTTGGCAGACAGAGTTTGCGTTCGGTTATGAAAAACAAGCTAGGCATATAATATAATATTCGCTTCTGAAATAACTAGACACAAAGATAACTTTCGGCTCAATACGGAGAGCTCTTGACTTAAGGGAAAAAAATTGCTCATACGACATTCAGATTTCTGTATTCTGATTTTACAAACTTTTACAATTTGTTCAATTTCTTTTGCTAGCACACACAACAAACAAAATTTGAAAAATTTGCAAATTTTGCCAAATTATTTGGGTACAAATTATGTGTTAGACTGAGAGATATAAGAGAAAAAGAGATTGTGAAAAATTTTGTATTTTTTTTGTTTTGTTTTTAGTTTTTGTTTTTGTTTTTTTTTTTCGTCATATTAAAAAGTTAGTTTGTTTTTGGTTTTTGCTAATATTTTACAATAAATATATATATATGTATTTATACATATTAAATTCTTGCACAAATAGTTGTTGAGTCGTGCTTTTGGATAGTTGCTCGTTATCGCGCCCTGTCGGCCTTTAACATCGTTTTAACTTGTCTTTAATGCTTTACTTAATGCCAATCAACCTCAAATTTTAAGCGTTCGTTTTCTCTACTGCATATTCATCTGTAAATGGTATTTAAATTGCTAGTTGTTTTTAATGGTAGAGTAGCGTAGCTTTTTGTAGTATTATATAATTCGTTTACCATAGTTTGTTTTTCTTAGTGGATTTTCGTGAGAGGAATACAATTTTGCAGCTGTTCTTGTGTGTATTTTCCTTAAAACATTTAACAAACATTCAAAAAGAGTGCAGTGTGCAGTTAAAATTGTACTAAATACGGTTTCTTCATATTGGTTATTAATATTTTTCTTTTCTTTTGGTTTGGTTTGTTTAATTTTGATAAGTATTTGTTTCGATAAATGTTGTTTTGTGTGTCTGGTATGTGGTACGCATTACGTATGCTTTAACGACATTTCGCATGTTGTGTTGTGTGTTGTCTGGCACGCACTGCTTGCATACGTATGCTTTAACGACACTTCGCCTGCTGTGGTGTCTGGTATGTGGTAAGCACTGTCTGGCATGCACTGCTTGCATTACGTATGCTTTAACGACACTTCGCCTGCTGTGGTGTCTGGTATGTGGTAAGCACTGTCTGGCACGCACGCATACGTATGCTTTAACGACATTTCGCATGCTTGTGTTGTATGTGTTGTCTGGCACGCACTGCTTGCATACGTATGCTTTAACGACACTTCGCCTGCTTGTGTTGTATGGTGTTTGGTATTTTTATGGTATTTTCTTTCAATTATTAGGCTTTAGTTTGTACACATGTGTGTGTGCATGTATGTGTGTACGTATGTATGCATGTGGTGTGCTGGTAATTATGCGTTTTATACGATTATTTTTTACAAATTATTTGCTTAGGTGGGCTTTATACTTGTTGATGTTGTTGCTGTTTCTGCTAATTACATAAATAGTCAAGCATTATGTGGAGGTGTGCTCTGTATGTGTGTGTCCATGTGTCCATGTGTGTGTTATTGCATAACATAAGCTGATCTGCTCGATTATTCGATTATTCGCTTGTTCTTGTTGTTTTTTTTTACAGTGTCTGTGGCTGTTTCTCTGCTTCTTCTGCGTTATTAATGTGTTCTTACGGTTAAGGGATCTTTAATTATAACTTTTTTAAGCTCTGGTTTCTTCATCTTATTTACTTTTTTATGTTTGCCATATAATTTTTGTTATTTTTTGTTGGGTTTGTGGATATTTTGTTTGTATTTTTTTATTTTTTTTTTTTGGTTTTTTTTTCTCGTTTTTGTGAAATTAAATATGCTTTCATTTTGGTTTTAGTTTAAATAAGTTTTAACGACTAACCCTTTAGACTAAGTTGCTCGTTCATAATCATATTATTAAATACATAATACAACAATATGTTAAATAGTTACAGCTTTACACATAAGCGTGTTGTTTTTTTTTAGAAGTCCTAAGTTCAGTTACGGGCTCTACTCTTGGTTTTATTACTGGCTAAAAACGTTGGAAGTGGGTTGCATGGGATTTGACAGAAGGGAGCGAGATAAGAGAGCTGCTCTACATATTGTTTTTTTTTTTATATTTTTTATGTATTTATAATATTTTCTTGGCAGTGTGATTATTTGCATTGATATATTGGGAATAGAAACAAAACCGAAAATAAATGGAAACTATGGAAATTATAGATTCATGAGCGAAAAGTGCGCGATTTTCAAACAAAATTGGATATGTATTCAAAAAGAGTTTGGTCAGAAGTCAACAAAACTGTATCAAACACACCTAAATATTATTATTATAATTTTTTTTTTTTTGCCTATAGAGCAGCTCTTAAACTACAACAAAAGAACACAGACGTGTTGATAGTTGGGATGGGAAATTGTTAACGGGAGCTCAGACAACAACATTGAATTGCATATTTGCTTACAGCATATCGAAAAGTTCCAATTTCTATTCTGAGGGGGGATTACTTTTAAGCAGCTGGTGTAGAGAGGCGTGCGTGAGAGACATTGATAACTAGATAGAGAAGGAGAGGACGAGAGAGAGGGGGAGAGGTGAGAGAGGGTGGGAGAGCGATACATTAGCGTTGAGGGGTTTTTGTTAGCACAATTTAACTGTTAACTGTTGAAAGCCGTTTGAAAGAATGTTCCAAAATTGTTCCAATTTAGCGATTCTCATTGTTGTTGTTGCTGTTGTTCTTGTTGTTGTTCTTATTGTTTTTCTCATCTTTCACTGGTAAACGGAATTATTATGATTCTTGTAGCTGTTGCTGCTGTAGCGCTGTTGCTGCTGCTGTTGATAATGCGCTGATGATTGCTGCTGCTGCTGCTGCTGCTGCTGATGATGCTGATGATTGTGATGCTGTTGATGATGATGATATTGCTGCTCGTGCTCACGATGATCACGATGCTCACGATGATAAGCAGGATGTGTGCGTAGATGATGCTGCTGGTGTTCGTGTTGGTATTCTCGTTCGCGTTGCTCACGTTGTTCGCGCAGCTGTTGCTGGCGCTCGCGATGATGTTGCTCCCGTTGTTGGTGTTGTTGCTGTTGGTGTTGTTGTTGACGTGTTGGTGTGTGTGGCTCGCACGTGGGCGTCGCATGTTGCTGCTGCTGTTGCTGCTGCTGCTGCTGTTGCTCACGGGTTGGCGTCGCCTCGCGCGATGCTTTTGTTGGTGTGTTGCTGCTGTTCAAGTGTTGTCTCTGTTGTTGTTGTTGTTGTTGTTTTGTTGTAGTTGCAGCTGCTGCTTGTGTTGTTGATGTGTTGCTGGGTGTATTGGGATGATAGTGTTGCTGTTGCTGTTGCTGCTGCTGATGATGAGGATGTTGATGATGATTGTTGAGCGCAGAATTACTGCCATAGTTGCTGCTGTTGCTGTTGGTATGTAGCTCATGAGGCAGTGGCGGTGGATTTTTAGCTTTTGTCAGCGGTATCGGTGTTGGCATTGGTTTTGGCGTCTCCGTTAAATCGATGCCCCATTCATAGAGGAACTCGAGTTTTTGTCGTTCCAATGGGTCACTAGCCGGCAGGGCAAGCAAATGTTAGGCTTCTAAAAATATTAACGCTGTTGGCTTCGGTTCCAAATTTGATTTTTTTGCTTCGACAACTAAGAAGGTTATTTCAGCCTTTTCACGATTTGCAAAGCATTCGGCTATCAATCGAGCAACCTCCTACAATTTAAGAGTTTGTAAGAATTCCTGAATGAATATCTATGCAGCTCACCTGATGATGTAGACCTTCCACCTTAGTGCCGTCTACCTCCAGTATCAGTTGCCCGACTTCCAAGCCGCCCGCTTCAAATGCCGCACCATTTTCCTACACCAATTTGATAACATTTAGTTGGGATCACTTTATAAGTAAGTTGGGTACTCACATGGATATTGATTATCCTAGGAAGCGGGTGCTTTGTATTAGCACCACCTTCGATAGCAATACCTAAAATTGGTTTGGTTTTCTTAACTGTAATGTGTAAGTTGCCTCTATGATCAGGTACGACGTTTGGATTGTGTTCATGTGTTTGTTCAGTCGTTGAACCACCGTTCTGCTCAGTTGACAGACGCTGCATGGACTAAGGGATCATGAAACGAGAGTCAAGCATAATATGTACATTGAAAATAAACCTGAGAAACGCTCAGAATTTGCGTACAATCATGTTGTTAAGCATAGCATAACTTGCTGGTAAACGCTGCAAGATATTGTTTATAGCCTACAATTCACTAATGCTAAGTATTATGATTAATAAATATCAAATTTGAAGGGTGTTTGTCAAAAGCTAAATATGTATAGGTTGTGTTTGATTAAAGGCAAGCAAAGCTAAAATATAGTTTCTTGTCAAAAGTACTTTTTACAAATTTTAAGTAAAGGAATTGTATATTTTTTTAAGTGTATGTGGGCGGCAAACGAATTGAAACTTTAATGCTAAGGGAATCCAATTCTTTGATATTTTTGGTTTATTCAGTGTTTCGGTTGTTTCTGTGAGAATGGAGCATGAGATGTTGGTTATTTTTTTGTTGACCAAATTGCATAAAATTTTTGGTTTCTAAAAGTTTGTCGTGTGTGCATTTGTATGTGTTCTTGTGGAGTTCCTTTGAGAATATTAGAGTAAAAAAAGGATAGAGCGTAAATTTGAATTTTAGCGAATTATAAAATCAAACCGCAAACATTCTTTTATCTAGTTTTATTTTGTTGGCATTCTCTGCGGACGTAGCTCGATAAACACGAGTATTTTGGTATTATTATTTTGGTATATTTCATTGGTATTTTTTCTGGTATTTATTGTGCTTGCAGAACGCACTTAATTGTAGCACTCACCTGATGCCTTCGTACACCTTTATCGCCCAGCAAAGTGCCGCCTTCTTCCTTCATATCGAAACTTCTTGAGAGTTTTGTGGCCAACTCCTAATTTTTTTTTTTCAATATTTTTTTGTGTTTTTTTTTTTTTTGCATACGGTCACATTTTATGTTTTCGTAATTTTGGCCGAATTTTATGCAGAGTGCGAAAAGTTTTTTTTTTTTTTGAATTGATTTGTTTTTACAAAAAGTTGAATATAAAATGAAAATAGTAGAAAGATGTTTGCATAAGAATTGGTTGTACTTGTACTAAGAATTGTTGCTAGATAAAAAAAAAAAACATAATTATCGTTGCAATTGCTGATGTTGAACTTTGGCAACGACAAGACGATATTGCGTCCATGTAAAGTGTTCTTCTTGGAGTTTGTTTTATTTAGTTTTTGGTATTATTATGGTACAATTGTTTTAGTTTGTTTACTTGCAGACATACAAATAGATATGTAGTTGAAAAAGTATGGTAGTTGAAAATATATATATATATAGATAGATATATGTGTACGTAGTTGAGTTAAAAGTGAAACGTACTTTAGAGTGAGGGAGGGTATCTGGAATCGTGGTGGTGGTAGCAGAACAGCATATGCAAAAGCCTTTTTGCGTGCTTGAGTGAATCAATTTAAATTGAGAATTGCAAACTTTACTGTGAACACTTTCTTGATTTGTATAAATTTCATTTGCATACAACCCGAAGTACGAACTTAATGCATTGTGTATGGAATTGGCAAGTTAAATGCACTTGAGTACACTGCATCTTATTGAGATACTCAATTGAAGACAATTTGATAAAGGGTTACAATGTTGCGCTGCTTTTTCAATAAGTTGATTGTGGCAATATTTCATTTGATATATGAAAACTTGCTGTGGGATTTGAATTTATATTGCATTTTTTTTGTAAATGTTATAATGAATGTTAGCAGAAAGATTCAGATTTTTAATTCCCAGAGTTAAACAAACGTTGTTAATATACATTTTGTCAAGCAGCTTTCAAATATGGCTGCATGAGTAAGGCTTTCCAGTTGACTATAAGCATTCGTTCCTTCTCATTTTTTCTCAAATAAAGCAGCATTTTAATTTGATATAATATTCAACTAAATTTGAAACCAGTTGTCTGCTGCCTTTCGACCGATAAGTTTCAGAGTAGATAGATTAAAATAATCGGAGGGTAAAGATCATTGGAAATTTGTCGTTCTGCAATATGCATTAGACATTTCTAAACCCAAAATAGTTTAAGCAACACAAAGAACCTAAATCTGTTTTTACTGCCGCAATGTTATCGATTGGCAAATAAATCGATAGCAGATGAAATGCACAAGGTATCGATACCGCAGATCAAGAATACTCAACAATTTATTAAACAACAAAAAAAAAGTTCAATAAACGTTGCTTTTTAGATAAGCCTAAAGTGTAATAAGTGTATGTGTGTGTGTGTGTGTATCTGGGTGCAATTTATGAGAATGCAAGTGCTGGTGTGTGTGGGTGTATGTGTGTGTGTGTGTGTAGTGTGTGTTTAAGTGTAGTGTATAGGCATTGCAGCTATACAAAATGTGTAGTTGGGATGTGTTTAAATATTTATAGAGTGTATTTTACGAAAGAAACGGCTTGCAAAACTTGGCAACTAAGACACTTAGATTTTTGGCTAGATTTTCAACAAGACTAGATTTATTGGCTATTTAATTTCGATTTGTAAGGGTTTGGTTTTATTTTGGACAGAAAAGCGCTAACTAAAACTTCAAAAAACTTGAACTTATTTTACAGATGTGGGTATCTAGAGCTTTAGCTACGACTAGAGGTGTACGAGTGTGTGTGTGTGAGAAAGTGTGTGTGTGTGTGAAGGGCGGCAGCAGCTAAAGTTAAGATGAAAATATAAGAGGATTTATATAAACGCAAATGTACAAAAGTATGACGGGAGCGGAAAATCTAATTACAGGGCGAAACAAATTACCAGATGTATGTATATATAAATATATATATATACATATACTACAAACGAAACATGAAAAGTTGATGGAATTGAAATCAATTTTTGCATGTGTCGATGCCTTTTGGTGGGGTTCGGGTTGTGGTGGATTTTGGTGTTAACAAATTAGGTTGACTCATGCGTAAATGTGCAAATGTATTTTTCAAGCTTTTTCTTTGGTTGTTTGGCATTTTTTATGTTTTTTTTGTTTTTGTTTTTGTTTTTTTTGGCTTTTGGTTTGTTTTTTATTTAGTTTGACCTTTTTGTTTAATTTGCGTTGACGTTGTTTGAAACGTGTTGAATTATGATTTGTTAATCTTGCATTCTTTTTATTGTTAGTTAATATACTTACATTGACAATTACTTTACAAGAGACTAAAAAACTCTAGTTAGTTAAAAGGAAACGATTATTTTTTCTTGGGTGCGCAAGTTAAGAATTTGAAACAAACAATAAAATATAGTTAAGTACGTTAACTGTTTACGTTTTGATTCGGCTAAAAAAACAAATGAGCTCAAGTCAGAGTGTGTGTGCGAGTGTGTGTGTGTGTGTGTGTGTATGTGTGCAAGCAATTAGTTGAAATTGAAACAATAAACGAGACGAGACGAGGTCAAGAACTAAAACACAATTCCTACGATTACAACAGAAAAACTGTATGCATGTGTGTGTGAGTGTGTGTGTGCGAGGAACAAATGGAAATGCAAATTTAGTTTTTTATTATTATTATTTTTATTTGCACTCGCATTGTGCTGTTTCTTGCAAGGCACATACAAACAGTTAGTTAGTTAGTTAGTAAGTTAGTTGGTTAGTTGGTTAGTTAATTATTTAGATAGAGAGAAAATAGACAGAGAGCGTACTTAGAGAGTGAGAGTGAGACAGAGCATAAAATAACATTATTGCAACAATACTAAAGTCAGGCTAAATTTGAATTTATGCGCTGAAAATGCAACGAGATGCAAATCCAAAAGTATTTCAAACATTCGCAAAGAACTCTTCTATTGCTTGTGACACAAAATAATTGTGTTTTATGGTTGCTGTTTGTATTATTTCCTTCTTTTTTTTTTTGGTTTTTTGTTTTGTATTATGACATGTTTTTGGTTTAGGTTTTCGTTTTTTTTTTTTTGGTTTATAGTTTACTTTCGTTAAACGAAAAATACATTGGCACTTACAAGAGGTCGTCCCCAATACCATGATTTGACACGTTGTGTTAAACCACCCAAATGTGAACGTAGTCCATCTAAGTAGCCGCCCTGAAATGCACACAAATGAACAAACGAGAACAATTTCGGGGGGAGAACGGGTAAAGGTTGAGAAAGATAGTAAGAGAGAGAGAGAGCACACAAAACAACTCAAAGTGAAACAAAAAATTAAACTCTAACAAACTAAACAAAAATCATTGGACTAATAACGAATATGATATACATAGATGTATGCATGTATATGAAAGTATGATTGAAACTTAAAGTGCCAACAGAACGAATTGAGAAAGTGGTCAAAAGAAATGGTGTCACGAACAGAACTGAAAGTAAATGGGGTTCTGGAGCTGTCTTTTGTGATATGTGGGAATTGTAGAGCCATCATTTGCGTTCCTTTACATACTAAGTATATCAATGTTATCAATGTTAATATATACGTTTTTATATATATATATATAGTTCTTTTACGCTACGTAATTATATACTTTTAGCTAAATAGGTTTTAAATCAGGTTTACGGGTATGTTTCTATAATTTCTAGTAAATATGTTTTTCTACATAGTTTAAGTACGGCCCTGTGTTGCTCTAAATGATTTACTTAATGTCAAATACAATTACGACTACATAAAATGAGTTGTATTTTATTTACGACTATTTTTAATGATTAAACCAGATATTAATTTTTCTATCATTATAAAAATTAACATATATTTATCTTGGACTGCTAAATATTTGTTTTTCATGTTTTTCTACATAAGTTTGATATTGGCCTGCAAAAAAGATTGTCAATAAATCTAACTGCTTCTTAGCTACAATGTTGCTGTCTGCCTCAATGTTGCTAGCAGCAAATGTTGCTAAGCATCAAATGTTGCCAGCATTTGGTTAACTGTGCTCAATAGCTGTTGCATACTTTTAGGGGCGCTGCGAAGCTTTGCTTCTGCCGTTGCTGCAGCGTTATTTTCCACTTTACATTTGCACCAAATTTCTATGAGTCAACTCAAAAAAAACTTGGTCTATTTACTCATTAACTTAATTATGTCCGCAATTTAAGTTTGGGTTTTGGTTTGGTAAAGCGCAACAGCAGCAGATCGCAAGGCACATCCATATTTCCGCGGCCCATTACAGCTAATGCATGGCAGCCGTAGAGATATTAACAACAATCAGTGGGAAATACATAGTAAAAATAGCGCTAAATATTTACAACGCTTGGGCAAAAGACTTTTCTTTTAGCATGTGCAGCTAAATTGGCTGCTTCCTTATTGTATTTTGTTTGTGATGAAGTTATTTATATATGTTCATGTATATGTGTGGCTGTGTGTGTGTGTGTGTGGCTGTTTAGTTGGACATGTTGTGTGAGTGTGTGCGTGTGTTTGTGTGTGTGTTTAAAAGATAGTTTTGAAAAAAGTGCTTAAATTGTAACAAACGACGACGCATACGAAAAACGAATGCAAAGCGAACGCAAAGCGCTTACCTGTTCCTGTAGTTTTGTATTTGTGGTTTGGTTCGTTGTTTTAGCCAGTTCACGCACAGATTAAAGAGCATGAGAAAGAGAAAGAGAAAGAAACGGGTATATGTGAATAAAATTTAACAACAATGGCAACTGTAAATGCGCAATTGCCTGCTAAAACGGTTAACAATTAGACACAAGTTGCCCAAAATGAAAAAGAAAAAAAAAACGTAGCTCATCTCTTTTCAATGCCAAACGTGGCTTTTGACCATCAACTCCATACACAACAAATCAACAGCAGCAAAATAAAAAAAAAACGATTGAGCAGATTTTCTGTTTACGTCATGCAAGAGCAAAACAAAAACGCCGACAAACTGCGGTGAGCAACAACAAGCGATGCCAGCCGCAGCCGCAGCCACAGCTGCAGTGTGTCAGCTGCAGATACAGTATCTCATAGATACGAACGTATCTGCTGCTGTTGCCGCTGCTGCAGCTGCAGCTATTGCTGCTGGCCATTGCGTAAAGCTTACAACAGCCCGCTTACAACTCACTTACATGTGTACTTAACTTACTTATACATACAAACACTTATACATATATATATAACTATGCCTATTTGCGTACGGAAAACGATATACTTATGTGTGTGTATTACTTTTCTATAATAATTTTTAGCCATAAATATTGACAATCTTTTGGACAATCTGCACCATTTATAATTGTTGTTGCTGTCGTTGTTGCCTTTGCCTCGCTGTGTCGCTGCGTGTCATTTTTTTTATTACTGAGCCATAAAAAGTAACTGAAACGCAGACAGACGGAGAGGCTTAAAGAAAGCCACACGCAAAGTAAACTACGAGATATTTAAACATTACAATTTCAGAGCAACACTTGAATGCCCTTTCCCCTTCCCTGATGCCATGCACTCAAATGCGTTTTAATCTTATGTTAAAGGCTTTCTTATAGTCTAAACCCTTTGAACACAGGTAAAAAGGGAATAATATTTATGTGCAAATGTGTGTATTAGGCCGAAGAAAGCGTCTCCAACCCCATAAAGTATATATATTCTTAATTGACTTGAAACAAAACTGAAGCTTAGGTATTTCCAAAACCAGCTTTAAGAGCTGTGTCGTTTCGAACTGTAAGTTGAACCAGCGACCAGCTTTTAGGAGCTTGTCGAGCTGTTCCCAAGCCAGCCCAAATGGATGGGAATTTTACTATACCCCCATGGCAGTAGTGTACAAACCAAAACAGCGGCGCTGACGACGCCGACATCGCAGTTGGCTGCTGTTTTGGCCGCGTCTGCATTTTCAGTTTTTAGTTGCGCGTCGTTGCTTGAAGCGTTAGGTTGGCCCAGGCCCAGAAAGAGTCGAGAGACAAGCGAAGAGAGAGGCACAGACACAGACAAACTGGAGACAGAGACAGCGAGAAGCAGCTTCTCCGGCTGAGTTCACAATTTGTAAGATACAAAACGTGCGTATAAATAGTAAATTACGTGTAAATACCAAAAACTTAAACAAGTTGCAGGCAAGTTGTGGCGTTGACAAATTTCGCGTTGTTGCCGCTCATTTCGCGCTCTGTTTGCCACAAATTGTTGCATAAACAAAAGCCGACTCGAACTAACAAGTAATAAACAACATCAATTGAAAGAAGTTACCTGGCTGCGTTTTCTTGCGGCCAGGCGTCAATTGCCCCAGGCACACGATGCTTTGTGGATTTGTTTTTACCATTTTGCTTTTTGTTATATCATCATTGTGTGTTTGGGTTTTTGCAACATTTGGCCGCAAGGCAAGTGCAATCTTGCCACACACATGTGTCCCAACCGAAATGGAGATGAGGCGACACACAGACACGTTGAATGACTGTGGCAAACACTTTTTTGCAATCGCATTTGCATTTGCATTCAATTAACTTCTGTTGCTCACCTTCTGCCAGTTTTTGGTCTATGGTTTTTGTTGTTGTTGTTGTTTTTGCGCGCTAATTTCTTTTGTTTATGGCTTGGTTTTTTAATTGCCTGCAGCTAGGGGCTATGCCTCAACAGCTTCAGTTTGATTTTTTGCGCCGACTGGTTTTGCAATTAAGTTGCTTTCAGTCACACACAACTGACGGAAGTTAAGAGATTCTGAGCACAAGTCTGCAAGCAGCCGCTAAACATTTCGACCTACAAAAGCAAAAACTAACTAAAGACCAAAGGGAAAGCAGTTAGCGGTAGGACGAGCTATAAACTGCGTCAGACGAACAAAAACGAAAAACGAAAAAAAGGCAAACTGACAACCAACAGTTAAGTTACTTTTACCCACAGTTTTCACTTGGCCAATTAGTTCTTGCCAACAAAAATAATTAATTGCAGAAAACTATTTTCAAAAAGTCAAATTGAGTTGGACTTTTCAAGGCAGAGGATCAATGCCGAGCAATTGACAGACAGTGTCAAACTTCACTTAAGCAAAATAACGAAATTCACAAGTGAATTTGTGAATCATTATAAATTTTCATTTAGTGTAAAATCTTTTGGAGAGAAAGGTTCAAAATTATTTATTACATCATTTGAGCATTATTTGACTGAGGCTGGTTTCATAATCAAAATCATATTAATAATAATAACAATAATAATAAAAATTCAATTCACTCACAATAAATCACATAATTGCGCCAAAAATAAACTTTTCATCAGATACAGTTAAATAATTTCAATTCAACTCATTTCAAATATGTCAAATTTAAGATTTTTCACCTTGAACATTATTTTGAAATACGCCGCATTAAAATCCAATAGCCCAATAAATTGGCAACATTAACAGAGCCTTACAGTATTACGCACAATATATATATTTTTATATATGTATATATATACATTTGTCAATGCGTATCTAATGGCAGTTGGGCAACTTTAGCAAGTATCTGTGAGATACAGCAGACAAATGCGGCTTCATTGAGGTCAATGGCATGTGTATATGTGTATCTGTGTATCTGTGAGGCTGTCTGCGCCGTTGGATTTGGTTACAAATCAACCAACCAGCTACATCCATATATATATATATGTAATATACATATAGACGACGAGCCGCTGTGAAGTTTGCAAAGTCATAAATTTGATTGATTTTAAATTGTTAGCTCTAAGCGGATTTCAAAAAACTGCTGACTGACAAACTCAGTCCGTTTGAAAAATAATCCGAAAAAAAAAATAAAAAAAATAAAATAAAATAGAAAAGAAAACCTAGAGCTGGAACAGCTGGAGTACAGTTAAATGTGGGCTGGGCAATTGAACGTCAATTTCATTATTCTTACTGTTGGAAAATTCTCTTTCTGCTTTGTGAAAGTTTCGACGCGTCGTCGTCACTTTAACTTTTCCGTGCACAGAAGCCGCAAACTTTTTTTTGTGAAACTTTTCAGCAGCTGGTTCTGTGCTCGCATCCAACTCTCCGTCTAACTCTCTGTCTATTAATCTTTTGTAAACAAAAGGTGAGCAGCCAATTTGCTGTCCAATTCACACCATTGTTAGCTAGCACACCGGCGAGCAGATCATGCGACCATCTATTGTCACACCGTCTACTATATGCATATAACTGGCCATAATAATAATTATTATTTCTCGCTGCCAGATCAGCGCATTGACCCACAAACTAAAAACTTGACAGCTGACCGATCGCTAAGCTGTCTGTCAAAGCGGCAAACGCCCCAACTCGAGCATTGTGCAACATCATTAAATGTGATATTCCGTTAACTGGGTCACAGTCCAAATAAAAGAAAGATGATGTCAAAAGCTTGGGAATAAATTGATTAGATTGGATGATGTAGCAGAATCTGAGAACGTGTTGATTATGTATATGCATAAATTATAGCACACGTAAGAAACTTACTTTCTCTGAGACAATTTGTCTGAATGATCAGTGAAATATTAACTGATGTACATATTGAAATATGTCTTGTTTACAATGTTGCCTGAGAGAGGCTTAAATCTTGACTTAGATCTTGTTTCAATGTATAGTTTACTCTTGCAGAGGACATTTAAAGCCTATCATTTAATTTCAAAAACATTTAATTTCCCTGTTAACATATCAATTTAAGAGAGTATTCCAATTTGATCATATTGGTTGGAACTAGGCATAGATGCAGATTATTCCCGCAGGCAGTCCATACAATGTACATATTTAATGTTACCCAAGAAACAGCTCTTTATCATAATCCGGACACCTTTGTACATCAACGTAGTTGTACTAGGCCATATAGGAACAATCCATCGAGTGAATTAGATGAACATCTAAGATTATGATGCCAATTCGTTAGATAAGGCAATTTAAACGGCAGCTTGTACAGAATATTTCTATCTTGTTTTCCTTAATATACCCAACTTTTCATAGCCAATTAAAACGGACACTAATCGTTTGCTCAAAACAAACTGAAGCTGGTCATTAAACCTATTCCAAATAAATAGCAGACATTTAACTGAGGCCCCAAGCATAGAAGTTGCCTAAAATGGAAGCTGTGAGAACTTCTATGTACTCTTCCCGACAGTTCAAAAACTAGGTAACTGTAAAAAATAAAGTTGCCAGAATTTGACACTGGCCAACACAATTGGGTTCATTAGTTTGGCTGCTTAATAATGTTTTTGAAGGCATGACGAGGGCTCTCCCTCTCTCTCTCTCTCTATCTCTCTCTCTATCTTCTCCTCCTGCCCCCTCTTTCTGCCTCAGAGACTGGCTATTAAGTGTGTTGATTATGTTTTACACCCATTGACTTTTTAGACCGGATTTTGGATGGTTTTGTTGGCGCTGCTGCTGCTGCTGTTGCTACGCATCAAAATGATTTATTTAACGTCTATTTACATTATAAACAACATGTTTCCAGTTGCTTGTTTGCCGCTTTCTTGGACGCAACAACAACAACAACAACCACTATTTACTTTCCATTTATGCTGCTCTTGACAAAGTTTTGTACCTTATTTAGTACGTTTCTCTAATGACCCACTTTGAGTTTTGGTCTTCGCCTGGCTGCTTGCCTGACTGCCTGCCTGCCGGCCTGCATGGACTTGCTGCTGCTGTTGTAACTTCAACAAAAAGTGAGTGTCGCATTGCCCAGACATCCACTTACAGCAACAACAACAACAACAAAAAGTTGTTTGTCTGTTTTTAGTTGAAATCAAACTGGTTGCTTGCTCAGCCGGTCGCTGGTCACCGCTCGAAGAAGTCGAACTTGCCCCCTTTGCTGCCCCGTCGCACAGTGTCAGCTGTGTAAACAGGGCTAAGCGAGTAGTTCCCTCTCTGTCTCCCCTCTCTCTTTCTGCTCCAGCTGCAGCTGGCCATATTACAGCCCAAATGGCTTCTGACAGCGCCAGACACATTGAACTTGCAGTAGATGCGTTGATTTGGACGAACGCCTTTTGCGGAAATTATTGCAATTTTCGTGTCTTTTGGCAACACAATCCACAAGTAACATTTGTTGCTGTTGCTGTTACTGTTGCTATTGTTGATGTTATTGTTGTTGTTGCTGCTCTTGTTGTTTCTTTAAAAGTGGCAAATTTACTTTCACTTTTCGTATACTCCTTGCAAAGCAGGCACAATAACTTTATAATGCGACTTGTTAGCCATTGAATAATGTCTACGATATGTCCACAAATACATACAGATAAATTTATGTGACAAATAATAAACAGTCCAATCTATTGGCGGTAGCCAGCAAACATTTTAACAGCTGTATTCATTATCTGTCAGTTATAGAGCTTTAAAATCATTATTTTGAATTCCAAGCGTGGAATAAGGGTGAAAGCCCGTTTAATCACAACTAGCTTTCAAGACCTCGTTCAAAGATCTATGTGAATTTCTTATCTATAAGCTATAGAGATTCTAAGATAAATTCATTCATTATCTGTAAGTTAAATTGCAATAAAATTATGTTTTATAGAAATCCACTCAAGATCGTGAAATCGCGAGTTGATAACTAGTTATATAGTCAAGCTATTTAAAAATATTTACATATGTTCCTGAGTACAGTCATAAAAATATGCTGAGGAATAGTCAGCCCCAAAGTATAAATAACTATGACCCAATTATTGCATTTATCCAACTAAATTTGATAAATGCCAATTTGGGTGGAAATAAAATGTAGCCCACATTTTGTTTATGAAAATATTAACGGCTTGCAATATTTCCAGTACAACGGGCAATTGTTAAATTATTAAATTGTTTCTTTTAAATTTCGAAAATGTGCGACAAATCAAGGTTTAAAGAAAAACCTATGTGGAAAGCTCTGAAAGGCAGGACGCTGGGTCGAGTTGCCAACCATTTTTTGTTAGTGTTGCAAACCAGATTTTTACACACATACATTTTAAGCTGCACTAAGCGGTTGTTTGTGCTAGTCAATCGGTCGTATGTTTAACTTTAGCTTTGTCGAACTGCCGACAACAAACAACAGACACCACACACACACACACACACACAGCTTGGCATTTGCAACTTGGTTAAAGAACAACAAATCGGACGATTCATTAAAACAACTTAACAAATCAACAGGCGGACAAACAATTGGCAGTCCAGCATGGAAACCTATTTGACCGAGATCAAACAATTGCGCATTCCACGCCCGAAATTCGAGCCGAATAGCTGCCACCAACAGCACCAGCATGCAACGGCAACGGGAGCGGCAGCGGGAACGGGAACCGCGACAGTGACACCGACGCCCCCACATCATCATCAGCTTCAGCTACAGCATCATCATCATCATCATCATCATCACCACGCCCATCATCAGTGGCGACACTTTGTGCGGCCCTTTACACCGCCACGCGATTATCACTTGCCAGTTGTTGGCGGAGCCGTCGCCTGGTCGGCAGCGGAGGACAGCGCCACGCACGACAAAATGTAAGGGAGGAGCCGGGCTGAGTTGGTGGGGAGTGTGGCGGGGATCTACCGAGCTCGCAGCTCGGCGGTCTGTTTGAGCTCGATTGTATTGCATTGACGCTGGCTTTGCTGTTGTCGTATTGATTACACTACCAATATGTCGAGCGAGAGAGGAGAAAGATATATATGGTATATACACACATGCTATGTATAACTATAATCTATCAAGAGTTTAAAGCTCTTTTGCATAATTTAGTGCTTAAGTTTAGTGTTTACTGTGGTAAGCTTAGGTTTCCTATATTAGCTATACAATAATAATAAAATCAAAGCTTGTCAAGTGTTTGAATCGATTTTTGTGTTACTTGAAAGAAACTCGGAAATGGTATTATATAGTAAGTATATTTGTATAGGCATGTTTGGCGATGATATGACATGAGAACTTCGTGACGTGAAATTCAATGCTAGCAACTGGGGCTATTCTGCAAATGTACCCATACAGAATACCTCTAAATACCGTTACATATTACGGCCCGAAGGGGTTAAGACCTTGTTCTGGTTACTCACCGCATCTTGTTCATATTCCGGTAATAGGGTTTCGCTGCCCCGGCGAGTTCTATGCTCATCACAGCCGTATTCCTAAGCCGGAGACAGAAAAGCGGAAAAATCATTTTTGAGATTTTCTTTGCGTTTATGCATTATAACAATAGCCAATTTTAAAAGGCCTTTTCAATTTTTTGGTCAATTAAGCTACGACAATTAGCAGCCAATTGGACAACAGAAAAATATAAACTTAAAGAACATTAAACAATTGCACAATTAGACATACACAAAACATAGAAAAGAAGTCCTCTTCAAAAGAGCACACATATATAGAAATGTCAAGGGACAGAACACAAAAAATAAATAAAACTAAAAAACACACACGAGACAAGAGACAACACACAATATAGCGGCTCGAGACGCGCCGATTTAGATCCGAATGTCAATTTTTCTTATATATGCAATCAAATTAAGTTAATAAAGCAGAGAAAGAGCAGAGCAGAGAAAATAAACCAGAGTTATTAAGATATCAAGAGCTAAGTTTAATTGAAAATAAAGGAATAAAAGGGATTTAATCAGAGAGCGCATATGAAAGATAAATTTGAAAATAATAATAAATGAATATTGTTTAGCTTAATTTGGAAAGCTTATTGTTTTTTCTTTTGTCGAATTCGAAAATTTCTCTCAGTCTTTTCCAATATAGATGAAACATAAACAATTTCTGTTCGCACAGCTAATTATTGGCTGGTTCTAATGGAAAAACTATGGATAGTTCTTGAAAGTATTTAGCAGAAACAGAGCCAGGAAAGAGTTTTGGAGTAGTGAGAGATCTAAGTGGTGCCAATGGGACGCTAGATGCTTCACGCAAATTCCTGACCTGTTGCTGATTGTCTTTGGCTTGTTTGAGTTTAAATTGATTTGGTCCCAATTGCTGCTGGTGAGGATGACGCACATTTCCAACGCCGCCGCCCAGATGACGCAATGAGGTATGATGTGGTGGATAATGTTGTTGTTGTTGTTGCTGTTGTTGTTGTTGTGGTTTTGGTGGCGGTGATGGTGATTGGTTGCTAGCTGCATGTGATGTTGCTGGCTGATAATGCTGTGAACGATGCAGTATTGGTCCCGCCGACATGGGCCGATAGGGCAACTGTAGTGCGGGTCTATCAACGGGTTAACGAATACAGATACAGATACAGATACAGATACGCAATGATCAGTTCTTGGTTGTTGTTGTAGTTGTGTTAGGTCTATTTGATTAGGTGCTCAGTGTTTAGGTACCGTTTATGTATATCCGTTACGGTCATGCCCAGACCCGAGTCCGACGAGGGACTGCGTCCAGTAGCGGCGCTTACTTCCATATCGTCAGCTGTTACCTGTTGGGAATGGAATGGAACGAACGTTTTGTTGCATACGATTCAGAGACAGACAGAGGGAGAGAGAGTGAGTGTGAGAGTGAAAGTGAGACAGTGAGAGCGTGACAGACAGAGAGAGAGAGAGAGAGAGAGGGGTAGACAGAGCGAAATATGAAATAGGGTCTACGGGCTAGGCCAGAACAGATTTACAGAGCCATCTACTGAGCATAGACAGCGCAAACAGAGTGTGCGACAGAGAGGATCGCAGAACGAGAGAGTAAAGTGATCAGTGCACAAGTTCTTCACGAACTATAGTTCATTTCGAACATATTTATATTAACATGTATATATATATTATTTTTTAAAGCTTTGCTTTCGATAGGTGCCATGTTATGTTTTAAGCAGAGTTTTGGGTGATTTATCGGTGACTGCTGTTTGTTATTATGCTTTAAGTGCGCTTTTGTGTGGCTAATATTACTTCATAATATATATATATATATATACATATATAATTTGTTATATGTACTTATATCCGATTATACATGTTTGAATTTCATATTTTACAATTAATCATGTTGCTTAGATATCTAGACCTAAACCAATGCACGGTTTGTCGCGCAATATCGATGTTTATCGAGGTCTTGCACTATCGATAATTTGGGCAATGCACAGCTGTAGCTTCATCTGAAGCAACTGTACTTGCTACTTATGCCTAGAAGAAAAAAGAATTTGTGCAACTACAAAAACTGCATTGTTTAATTTGTTGATTTAATTGCTTTTTGGTTAATAATTTTATTTTTTTTTCTTGTTTCTTTTCTTGCATTTTGTAAAGTAAAAATTGACATTCGTTTTGGTTCGATTTTTGTTTGCAAGCCAAACAAAATCTGAAGCCGAATCAAAGAAAGCGAGTTTCAAAAAGCGTTTCAAATTGAGAGACATGCAGCAAACACAAAACTATAAACTATAAAGCATTAACAATAACAAAATAAAAAAAAAAAAAAAGAAAGTTAAAGACAATTATACATTTTCCTACTCGAAGAACAATTAAACTACAAGTTTTTGCTTTATCCGACAAGTGTTTTGTATTTTGCTGTGTATTGAGTACTTTTATTAGTATTTTGTTTATCGAAAGTAAAATTTAACTAAAAAATTACAACAACAAGGACAACAATTAACAACAACAATAATGTGTAAACCAAATTAATATTCCGAAACACAGTAGCTGGACAGATTCGTAGACACAACACATATATGTGTGTATATATATTTTTAAAAAGAGTATTCAAGTTGATTGCTAAACACTAGACGAATATTTAAGTTGTTTTCTTTTTTGTCGTACAAAAGTTTAACATGCGCAGTTAGTTGTACACAGAACTTGCTAGGTATATATTGTGTCAGTGTCGTAGAATAAATCTTCTAAAAAGCTTACCGGCAAATCACGTGCGGAGTCTCCTTTACGCTGCAATGAATCAAGTGGGGAATTGGCATTAAACGTTTGCCAAAATGGAGTCTAGTTGCGGCCTGTATCTTACCCTATGCCTATCCACGCTATATGGATCGCGTTCTCTGCGATACACAAGCTCATCGTAACGTGTACGATCCTCCGGAAAAACGAGCTCACGAATTTCCGTCACTAGCGTGTGCTGAAAAGGAAATACATGGACATAGATTCGAGCCTTTGGGGTTTGCCATCTCTTGATGTGGTATTTACCTTTTCGTACGTATCTAACATCTCTAATAAGACGGCAACAAAGGCATCTATGGTCATTGCTTTCACACTATATTCGGCAATATAATACGAAAGACTTGCAAAATGATGACGTGGCAGCAACGAGCGCGCCTTCTCCTCCACCATGGTCGTGATTTGACCTTTTCGGCGTGCTCTGCAAGCGACACAGAGATCGATCGAGTATTATTATTATAGCAGGCATTATATATGCAAATAGATCGGTTGTTATAAACATGGTGGAAAACCGAAGAAAACGTGTTGGAGATTAAGTTTATGATTAAAACCAGTAAACGGCTTTTAAGTTTGGTTCATAAAACTGTTCGGTTGGGGTCCATAGTAAGAAATGAATAGGAATTTTAGAGCATCGAACCAGCTTGCAGCCTGGCTGATGATTGCTTTTCCCTTCTGCTTACCTCGTGCCCGTTGGACTGTACGCATCCCAGGGCTCCATTTCGATGGATGTGCAGGAATGCGGCACCTTGCCCACGTCACGTATCACCAAAGACATGCGCTTGTGATACTTCAGTTGACCGACGGCCTCGTCGTGCGTCACATCGAGAAACGACTGGCCATTGACCTCCAGTATTTCGTCGCCAATCATTAGACCGGCACGATCTGCGACGCTATCCTTGTCGACGCCTGTGACAAAGATGCCCAGGCCGTACTCGACGCCGCCGCGTATCATCAGGCCCAGCGATTGGCCGGGCTCAATGAGCAGCTCGACGCGGCGTACCCTGAACGGATGCCAATTGGCATATGTTATATATATTGTCTATATAATCTCTAGGAAGTCCGCTTACCGATCTCGACGCTCGTTCCGCCTGCCGCCATACTCCATGGGCGGTGAGGCCGGACGGCCGTGTCGATCCATCCAGGAGCAGGTCTGACGAAAGGGCAGACCCGATCCGCCGCCACCGCCGCCGGCCGCTGCCGCATGGGCCGCTGCAGTCTGTGGTAATAGGGGGGCCATCGACGCGTACATTGGATCCCGCGAGGGTGGACCAAAACCGTGCAGCGGCGCCGTCGAGTTCAGCGTGGGCGGCGCTCGCACCGTCATACTGATTTGACGTGACGATTTCAATATCTGCACACATCTCTGCGTTAAGAAAAAATGTGGCAATAGAAGAGACACAAAAGAGAGACGGAAGATGCAAGCAAAACGAACGAACGATAGAAGGGATCAAAGAGAGAAGAAAACTGTCGAACCAAAACTAAAAGCGGGTGGCAGAAAAAGATATAAAATTTCCAAAAACTAATAATAAATAAACCAAATTTAAAACTCAACAAAATATTAATTCAAGGCGGACATTTTGCTGTTCTATTGTGCACTTTATTGCGGTTTTACTGTACCATTTCCTCTCGTTTTAGCTATTGGAATTTTAATTGTTTCGCCACAAAAACTCGTACGAGTCGAGTTGTTCTAATTGCTTGGGACAAAAGTGCGAAATGTCATTTGTTTTGTTTTAAAATAATCCCAAAAATTTACCACATTTTAGTTTTATAGCCATTGTAGTTGGGCATTTAGACAAATTGTTAGTTCCCCGAAACAAATGTGTTGCTGGGTAAAGCTCTTTGGTAACTTTTATTGATCCCTTAGGACTTTATTAAATATATGTTAAATTTATTATTTTGCTTGAGTTTGCAGTTGATGGTTAAAGACAAATTTGTAACTGGAAGTTACGGAAGTTCTCTAATGGAATAGCTTAGCAGGAGCTCTACAAGATATCTAATAGCTTGCTTCCTTGAAGCCAAACTAACCAGGTCTTTTATATAGTTTGCCAATTAATTGAATTCTTTAAAAGTACAAGTTCATATAAATATAGCCTCTATTGCAGTACACTGTAAGAAATGATTGTGTTTATTGTGTGTTAAAGGCAGATTAAACAAATTCTTAATAAATCAAAAGCATATTGAGAACAAAAACACGATTCTAGAAATAGTTGAAAATAAATCAAATTAATATCTTCTATTTAAGAAAATTATGTTACAATGTGAATTCAATGCGACTAATCTATTGCCAATTTTTTCTCAGTGTATATTTGTATTAGTGTTTTTTTTTTTTTTTTGTTCAATGATGTGTATATCGTTTTTCGTTTAGTCATATTTATACAAACAGTATCATTATATGTAAAGTGCAAGATATTAGTAAAAACTACCAAAAATCGTTTAGAGCATAGAACAAGTTCAGCAGAGAGGGGCAGATATAGAGAGACAGAGAGTGTAAGGGGAACTACATCTACAATACTAGACCAAGTACGAGTTATTTCACGACTATTGGCAAGCAAATTTGTCGAAAAAAATAAAGTTTAAATTGAAAAGCAGCGTGGGAAATGGCACAACATGTGCCAAGCCCCGAGTTCCCGACTCTCCGACTTTTCTAGTCTCCTGCTCCTAGTCTAATGCCTTTGTTAGAGGCACGCATAGTGGCACCAGCTACTGCTCGAATATGAAGAATTATATTGACTATCATAACGTGTCACATAAAATATTCCACAATAAATTGACTTTCGTTGTCAGCAGCGTTGGCAGCGCAGCTGTCTAACATGGGCGAGTTGGGGTTACAAGTGCCATGGCCATGGGTTGTCGTCCTGGTGGTGGGGCTAAGGGGTTGATGGGTTGCGATTTAGGTACTCTGACAAGTGGCGCACATAAAAGGCGATGGCCTACTGCTACTCAAATGCATTGCCCCTTATCGCAACTATTAACAGGCAGACAAGCAGCCTATCGAGCGAAATCACATTAAAAATCAATAAAGTGTACAATTAAATTATCTTTTTGAAAGGAAGATTTTGTCGTTGTCTAAGCACAGGCTGAAGGACATGCCTTGTCGTTAATCATCCTTTCTTATAGTCACTTAATATTCCAACAAACACTGCCGTTTAAAATTTGTCAGAAAAATACAGTGAACGCTCGAAAAGGTGCAACTTATAATTTCTAGAATTTAAGCAGACATTGAGAAGTATTTATATGGCAAAATTGTTTCTTTATTTAAAGAAACTTTGAGGTTTTCTTCTCTTTAAGAAACGTTTCTCCTATGTTCGAGAACTCACTGTATCTAAGACTCGGCTGCTCTCTCATAATGTGCTCTAATCGATTTTGCGCTAGATAACAACATTAGCTACTGAAAGTACATATTGAAAATAGTTTTGTAGAAAATCATTTGCAGTTTGCTCACCTTAAGCGCCTCCTCGTGATTGATTGAGGTGAATGGCGTGCCGTTCACCTCTAGGATTGTATCACCGGGTCGCAGGCCGGCGCGCTCCGCCACCGAATTCTCCTCGATGCGTGAGATGTAAACACCTAAGCCTGTCGATAAAACACACAAAAAAACACACACACACACACAAAAAAATCAATTAGCAAGCGGTGCGCATTAAACTTTTATTAAAAGACACAACACACCACGCCCTGCACCGCCCACGGCTAGGCCCATTTTGATACCCTGTATCAATTACAAATGTGGAAGGTATCACGAGACAAAGCAAACGTATGTAACATGCGGTTGGAAAGTCTATATATTTTGTCCAGCATCAATATCTGAGTCGAACTGTCGACTTTGTCTTCTTATCAGTCCGTATATTAAACTTAAATGCATTCTTAACGTAGCATCAAGTATGTTCTAGAAAGTCGAACGCTTTGCCAGGTATCAGAAGTTTGTAAATATCAAAATATCCTTTTGCCCCGTTGCCTCGTAACTTATAAAAAACTGAACACATGGCACGTGCGCTCTCATATGGGGCATGGGAAAAATATTTTACCTTAGGTATATTGTTCTCCGATTCCCCAGTAAATAAATGTTATAGGCATACACCCTTAATTTGTGGTACATCACATGTTATCTTTATGCGCTGAAAAGCTAAAAACAATCGGATAATGAGCTCCGATTTGATTCAAGCATGAAGAAGCAATGTAATTAAGTCCGCGAAGCTATATACAGGGTATCCATGCACTATCGTCTAAAGCATTTAAACTTAATTTTTTGTGTCTGTTTTTTGTAAGCCTTTTTCATTAAGCGGGATTCTATTTGGGTGTGTGCGTGTGTGTGCGTGTGTGTGTGCAGCCATATGTGCCGAAAAAGCAGAAGCAGCTCACATTGTGTGAGTCAATGGAGACGATAAATTGATAGATGAAACGACCCCGTATACGCGACTGGGCGACTTAAATAGATTTTTTTTATCGATTTTAAATCGGTCGCACGTTGAAAGTTAAAAATAAAATGCCCGGCAGTGAGTGGAGGAGCGTGCGGCGGGCTTCGGGGTTGCAGGCAGACTCACGGACAGGTGCAAAATGCGCTTGGAAATGTCAAAGCGGTTGGCGTTTCATAGCACTAAAACGAATGTACAACAAAACGACAGACAATAGAATCGAATTGAAAATTAAATTGCATGAAATGCTCTCTGAATTCCGGCCAAATTGAGGTGCCACACATCGCCACACACGTGAGAGACAAGCAGCTGAGCCTCGAATCGACTGGGCGTAACATCGCATCAACTACAAACGTCAAGGAGTTCCGTGCCCCCCTTTATACAAACATCCTCTGCCAAGCTACATATGCTTTTCGCTGTAAATATAATCCAATGGCAGGCAGCTTGGAGAACTGCGAAGTCTTGTGCTCTTGAGACTGACAAGGATACACAGGGCACAAGCCCCCTATTATTTGGCCTCTTTGTACTCTCTTGACCATGGATTTTAAAACTAGATTGGTTTTGCCCAATGCTTGTCTGACCGTGGGCTAGCCCCCTTTATAACAAAATTTAAATCGGAAGCCTCAAAATTTTAAAATAAATCCAACCCCTCATAATAAATCCAACCATGCCTCACAAAAAACATATGAGCTTTAAAAGAGAATCGTTCTTTATAGAAGCTAACCATAAATATTTAATATTTCCAAATAGATTTCTTATGTTAGCAAAAGCCTAGACAAAGGCTAGTCTTAGAACTAAAGTAAGCCAATGTGGAAAGTTGGCTTTCTTTAAAGAATTAGTTAAATATATATTCATCTGAGAAACCCGTTTGAATATCCCAAGATAATCTGTATATATAACCAGGAGTCAGTTTGAGAATCTCTTTACTTTTCAAACAATTATATAGGTCGAAATATTTGGAATGTTTTATACACATAATCACTGTTTTTTGCCCCCCCTGAACTCACCTGAGTCTTTGCCTCCTTTGACGCATATACCGAAGCCGTGATCGACTTGCTGATCACGCGACATTGAAACAGTGCGCGTCGTAAGTTCATGTATGTTGGGCACACTCCGATCCCGATCTCGATCGCGATCCCGATAGATCTGTATAAAAATGAAAGGTTATTCGTCTAGCTGCTGTGAATAGAATAGAATTGCTTGGATATACCTGATGCGTTGTCGAGGGCGGACTGCTGGCCGGACTGCGTCGGCCTGCGCGATCCCGATCGCGTGTGCCGCCGTTGCTGTAGTGATAGCTACTCGTAGGAACTGAAGACGACTGTGTGGCGCCAAACATGCGCAGCACCTGCTCCGGCGATATGGCCCGCTTCTTGTTGCCATTGCCCATGGCCGAGGCGGCATGGCGACCGCTGGCTGCCGTTGATGTGGGCAGCGTGCCGGCCGTGCCGGCGGCCATGTGGCTAGATGGCGAGGAGCTGAGATACGCCGAGCCGCGACCAGGCAACGAACCACCCTTCGTGGGCACACCAGCCGAATTGTAATAGTAATGCGGCGAGTGTGGACGCTCAACGATTGTGTACGATGTGCCCGGTGGCGAATAATAGAGACCGGAGCGACCGCTGCCGCCGGCACGCAGCGAACTGGTGCTATTGCCCACACGGGAGCCAATGCCGCCGGAGCTGCCGCCGTAATGAACGTGCCCGCTGCCAGGTGGCGGACTGATCATGCCAAAGGCCAGGCCAATGTCCTCGGCCTCGTAACTGTTTGGCGCTGCTGCGCTGCTCCGTAAATGATGTGCGCTGAGGCCAGCTGAGCCGCCCGTCGGTACGCTCGATGATGATTGTGTGGCGCCTGGTACGCCGATGCCACCAATGCCGATGCCGGCCGCATTTGCTGCTGCTGCTGTTGCATGGTAACCATAACCGCGTGCACTCCAACGTGATGGTCCAAGATCGCATAATTCGGCATAATCATTGCCAGCTGCGCTCATTGTCAGGGGGTCACCGTCGTATGGTATACCACTGCCCCCAAGGCGCATTACACTGTTGGGGCTGCTGGTGACAGCAGAAGCAGACACCGACAGCGACACAGAGAGTGAGTGAAAGAGAGAGAACGGCACAGTTAGTTGTTAGTTAAACAAGTGAAAATAGGCTAACCCCCCCTCTCCCTCTCCCGCCGTCCCAGTCCGACCGCAGCTTTTTGTTTGCATTCGCTCATTGCAAACGCAGCCGTTAAGCCGCAGCTCAGCCACGCGCCTAGCTGCGGTTCCCATTACAAACAATGGCTTAATCTCCAGAGTCATATGTTTTCACACACACACACACACACAGAGACACAAAACACACTCATGCGCGCACACACTCACTTATGCATACGCAAAACTATGGCCCATTTGTTGGTTGCCATCCTTTGTTTCGAAATCAATAGGAGAACCTACAAACTAGGCTCTCCATTATGCATGTGCATATGCTAACTTTGGGCCAAACAACTCAAGTCCACCCCACCCCGGCACTCCTGGCACTCTTTTCCCCACATGATAACAACCGAAAGCGATGCTCATTAATTCATAGACCAAAATTGCGATGCTCACTTTGGCAGTCACTTAGCCGATGAGTCCAGCATTTACATTAATATTGTTGCTGAGGTTAGTACGAGTTTATCTAGTGTGTAAAAAGAAATTCAATATATACTAAAAATATATATCGAAGGAGTTAATGAGTGCACTATTTAGAATTTAACTAAAAAAAAATAATAAAAATAATAGTAATGATATTAATGATAATAATAACACTCATACTAATAATAATAATAAAAATATAATACTAATAATAATGAAATTGATAATAATAACAATAATAAAAAGTTATTATAATAACAAAATTATTTGAGGTACATTTCATAGATATATCCAAGCATAGCCAAGTTATCCAGAGAGATAACTATTTAGCTCCTTAAAAATATAAACATAACTTAATAAATAATTCAAATACTTAAATGAAAGTTATAAATTGAAATAGAAATAAACGCATCTGTTAGTCGCCTATTTTAGTTTATTTCATTAGTTTTAATTCAATTTTCATAATTTGGCATCTTGTTAAACCTAACGAACAGTTTTTGCAGACACGGCCTGGCTTTTAATATTGTGTTAGATCAATTTCAAATTATAATTTATGCCCAGTTATAATTGATAATTCGACATAAAAAGAAAAAAACAGATTCCAACAAATGCTCATTAACAAAGCCTCCCTGCAGATTCGAGTCAAAATGTGCCCAACCAATCAATAAATATTTATATTAAAAACGTTCGCCGTTTTAAATCGCAGCAAATTGATGAAACTATTAACTCGTAAATTGGGCCTGTTTAACAATAACAGCTTGTTCACACATTTATGATTAAATATTTTGCCGCCCCTCGGGGCGGATATATCCATACATAATGGCCAGCTATAGTGCTTAGCTCTAACAAGCAGCCAATAATGTCCTTTTTGATAAACGGATACACATTTGCATGTGTTTCCACTGCAAATTGGCAAGCAAATGCTCCATATGTCTATATGGTATGTGCATGTGTGAGTGTGTAAGTGTGTAAATGTGTGTGTGCATATTATAAATTCATATGTGCATTTGTATCAATAAGGAGCATCAAGCTAGATATATGTATATATGTAAGATTTACTATATATGCATATACATATATATATATATATATATATATATATATATATGTGTGAATTCATTTGTATATTTGACAATAAATTGCGAACGTGTGTGTGTGTGTGAGTTTTTTCGTTTTTTTGTGCTTGGCAGGGCTTTGTTGTAGAATAAACAGCCAGGCTCCAACGTATTTACTCATGACCTTGCTTTGCAAAGCCAACAACAATGAACACACACACACACACACACACGCACGCACACACACATACACACTGATGGCTGGCGTCGCCTGGCGTTTGGCGCTGTCCCAAGGACATTTTTCATGTGCGCAATGTGACATTTTTGGAATTTGTTACTCGGGCTTGTGCCAGGCGGCAATCGCACAGTGTCGCAAAAAATAAAACACATTCGACAAAGCCATCAATTAAGGCAATGCCAATCGATAACTTTTAAAGAGCATCAGACATATTAATGATGCGCAACGCACGATAGTCAATCGTTTAGCCAGGCCAATTATTTTCATCACTGAACAATAAGTTTTCGTACCACTGTGCCTTTCATTTTTTGTGGATTCGTTTTGTTATTGTCATTGTCAATGGTCGCCTGGTTTTATTTGATTTGAAAAGTAACTGTTGTACAAACATAAATACATACGTAAACATATTTATAAACGTAGACAGCACTCATATTTATGCATACTTCCTTACTTCATTTCCCTTACGGCGGGTATTTTAATTGTGGCGATGTGTTACGCATAAAAGGATCACAGAAAGAATATATTATATTATATTTTTTAGTTTATTTCTTTTATTTAACAACCAAACTAGTCCCTGAATTAGGAGGTTACATCGACGAGATTATTTGCGTATGTCAAATCAGACTACATCATCCAATAAAGTGCTCTGTTTTCTTGAGAGCAAATTGACAAAATCATCAAGCAACTCTAACTATATATTGAACATATTTTACTTGTTGACCAGGGTATTAACTATTCGTTGTTAAGTAGGCTATATTTATCGACATTCTCTATTTGCCGTTAAGGGTATTAAAACTTCGTTGTACCGAAGCCAACTTTTTACTTAGCCATTTATGCGCGTTCACAATGTGAAAAGAGTATATTAGGATTTCACAATCTTCGTCCTGCTGTTCGTATATCCGTCTGTACATATTCTCGAAAATTCACTCAAGACGATTATATGATTACGCCCACCGGAGGCGTGGTAAATCGAGAATATCTATATCTACCAGAGCTTAAGAAGTGAACTTACAAAATTGGGCATGAAGATGAGCTTAACTTAAAAGGGATTGACATCAAATATTCAAATCGTATACCTCTCTCTCTCTCTCATTCCCTTGAATAAAAATAGCGGGTATCATGCAGTCGCTTACAGCCGGTCGCAACATTCCTACTTGATTATTTTATTTTTGTTTAAGCCAGCATTTGCCTGGGCTGTCGTCATGAATGTTGTGGGCACATTTTATCTGTCGTTGTTTTATTTATTTTGCTGCTTATCGCATTGTTTGCTGCTCGTGACGCCAAACTGCAATTCTCAGAGTTATTTTTTGCATTTTATAAAAATTTGCAAGCGCAATTGTGACTGGGCCAATGTGGTTGTTGTTGGTTGTTGTTGCCTTGACGCCTTTGTGTCGTGGCGCTCAGAAGTATGCTATAAAATACTTTGTGCGTAAGTGGGCTGCGCTTTTATTTATAAATAATTGATGCTTTATATGTGCCCCGGCCCTTAATGCGCTCTCCTCTTAATAGTTGCTGAAGGCATATTAAAACATTAAGCAGTCAACGAGTTTTTTCGCCCTTTTTTTAAATTATCGCCTTTTTAAGGGAGGGTATCTGTGTGTGTGTGTGTGTGTGTGTGTGTGTGTGTGTGGGTGTGCGGGCAACTGCTGTGGTTCGAGCATTCATCAACTTTTTAGCATTATTTTGGCAGGGCTGTGCACAAATATTCTGGGAAGTAATTATGATAAATGCAGGATGTGCCTGTGTGTGTTTGTGTGTAAGCCGCTGGGTTTGCCTTGCGGCATGTCGAACTTGTAACTGGGTTAATTGCGCGTAAAAACAAAAAGGTAGCGCACCGCAGAGACTATACACCTATGCACGTACCAGCCTGTGCGTGTAAATGCTTTGTGTGTGTGTGTGTGCCCATTTCCGCTCGATGTCAATAAATCTTAAATATCTCAGAGCTTAGGGTAAGCCCTAACAACGAAATTTTTGAGTTACGCACAATGCACTCGAGCCGAACTGATTATTAAAAAATATTGACAAGAAAAAAACAAAGGTTATACAACATTTCAATTATAAATACATGTATTCAATTACGATAGATTTTTATTAAATCCAAGAATTATTGCACAACAAATTCCAGCAGAAGAAAATTAATAAGAAAAGTAAGTTATCATAATTCATACGAACACAAAATATATTATTAAATTGATGGTAAACAAGGGGAGCATGTTTTAAAAACAAATATGATTAAACAGATAGCCCAACATCGCCATACACTGTCAACCCAACCCAAGTCGAATGATTATCAAGAGGATTTATACTGTCAGAGCCTGCGTCTAGTGGGATAATTATGTCACATAAATAAACTCAACTGAGAAGACCAACGACAGCATTGAACAAAAATAAACGCAAGCCAAACAAAGCAAAGCTCCATAAAGTTCACACACACACACGCGCTCACACATACACACATAATGCCCTTTTACATGTATTAATAAGCTTTGAGCATGTTAAGGCTCAATTACCTGCACAAGGGCCGTTGGCTATTTAAGCCAGCCAAACTCTGAGTTACGAGTATTGGGTAGCTGTGTCTCTCTGTGTGTGTGTTGTGCGTGTGTGTGTATGTGTGTGGGTATCTGCTAAAAATAATAACAAAGTTCACTGCAACTACACGTGCCTGGTCGAAATATAGTATTCTCTGCCTATAGTGACAACCGCACTCAACTTGGTGACAGCTTAAAACACGTGACAGGCCTTCATTAAAGAGTAAAAAAACGATTTCACTCCAAAATGAAAGCCTCACTCTCCCTTCCTCTCTCTCTCTCTCTCTCTCTCTCTCTCTCTCTATGTCTTTGCCTCACTCTCTCACGGATTACATGTACAGAGAACACTCGCTTGTAAGAACAGCTGCATGTGCGCTTCTTCAATCAACCATATGATGAAATATTTACACACTATCCAGGAGCTAAGTACTCGAAATTGATTGTTTATACGAAGCAAGAGAGCATGTTTTTAATACAAATGATGGAATTGAGAATTCGTTATCTTAACAAGAACAAGAATTTTATTGTATTATTAAAAGAGTTTAAGACAAAGAAAGAAGAACTTTCGGGAAAAGAAATGGATCTTTAATAGGATCAATAGCAGGTATATCTTTAA